TTGAAATTATGAAAGTCTAGAGACCATTCAAGAAGAACTTTATTCCCAAAATAGAGAAGAAAGGATACTTGAAGCAGTGATGATCAATACGAATAGTCATCTTGGAGGCCGTCAAGCTCAAGCTCCTCTTGAAATTTCTTGTAGGATGATTTGTGCTTGTTTCTGGTAAAAAGAAAGATACCCATTTTCTTGATTCACATATCTCAGACCTTGAGCTAGAGGCAATCCATCACTCACCCTTCCTACTATGGTCAGCTTCACCATCTCCTGAACGTTACCTCAACAGGGTATATGGTGGATGAAGGAGAAATAAGGGCTTTTTATGGGCCATGTGAGTAAGTATTAGACAACTTTAAGAACAAGTCATCTGAGGATGTGCAGAAGAAGCAAAAGGAAACAATCTGAAGAAGTGAAATCAACTCGGCTAAGTTATTCTAATCCCAGTACATTTTCTGCGTCCATATTTCCATTGAGTCTCCTAATCTTGGGTGCTCCTAGCTTTCGATTCTCACATTCCATATAATTAATCTTAGTTAAACTCATCTAACTTCTGTAGAATCTCAAACAACAAAGAGCAGAATTAACATAGTTACAGCCATCCTTTGACCTGCAGCATTACCTTTAATCCTAACAACGTTGTCATCAACGTCATCCAAAGCCGCTTTCCACACTGGTAGGCAGGCCAGTCCTATATCATCATTGTTCTGAATAGCCTTGATTGAAAACGTGTCATCATTAAAAGGTGAACAGCAGGCAAAGACCTACTTTTGTTAGCTTCTTGGCTTGCAGGATTTTATGATGGCTATGAACTCATTAACTTGTTTTCCATTATCGTGTTTTCTCCGTAGAGGTGATATTTAAATTCCTGTACGTACGGATTCATACAAGAGGAAACACATACGTCCGTACGTACGTTTTGTTGTTCAATAATTGTTCATACTGAAGGATTTTATTGAACCGATCGAGCCTCGTTAAACCGAATGCGCGTTGTGCCCATTCGGTGGTAACAAAGTTTTGACATTTATTCACTCGGACCCCTGCTCTTTGTTCCTTGTTTATTCAAAATGTGACGCCACTTCGAAAGTTGAATCTTCCTCACTTCCTCTGCACCAATATATGGTGAATTCGCTTAAAGCGTTAAGCTTTGTGGAATTTTCAGGAGAAAAGAAAACTTTCCATCAAAGTCACCGAGTTATGAGTCATGATATTTTAGAGGGGTTTCGTGAGTCTTCTACCTGTCAAATGTTTGACTAATTGCTTCATTGAAAGTTCTGTCGTTTTCTTCTGTTGAAATTATATCCGTCTAGTTAATCCCTTTCTTTTTCATGGGTTTTAATGATTTATATTTAGGTTTGTTTCTCTTTTTCATTTTGCGTTACTAGGAAGAAAGAACCCCGGTCATTGCCTTACATGGCATGCATGCATTAAATACGGTCCTGGTTCTTTACGCCGCCCAATTGTACTATACTTGTGCATTTATAGCTATCTGATGGTTTTCATTGCTTCCTCTTCAGTGGGTTTTCAACTGCAACACTCTTCTTCCTCCTCCTGTTTCCTCCTCTTCTTCCTCCTCCTCTTCTTCTTCCTCTAGGTTATTAAAAATAGAGAAAAAGAACAGATTATATATAGGACTAAATCAAGCTGGTAATGAGGGGGTGAAGATGGGGAGGTCACCATGTTGTGATAAAGATGGAGTGAAAAAGGGAGCTTGGACTCCTGAAGAAGATGAACTCTTAGTTCAGTACATCAAGAAGCATGGCTGTGGTAGTTGGCGGACACTACCCAAGAATGCAGGTGCGACTTCCTACATCACTTTTTTCTTTTTGTTGTTTTTTCTGCACTCACTTTTTTTTACCTATGGGTCAAAAGTGGAGAAGTATGGAATCTTGTATTCAGCAATTACATGGCACAGTATGCCTGTTCACCAGGGGAAAAATAAAGCTGATATATCATATGTTCTTGTTAATATATGCACCTCCTTGTGTTTGAAACGTGGAAGGTAGTTAAAGAATTTGTTTGGATCCTAATGTAACACCTCAGTCACTTTGTCTCCTATATTTACATTTTCCCCCTAATCATTTTGGCATCTTAAAGTAAGATTTCTATCAAAGAGGTGAATTTCAAGTGCAAATGATTAAAAGATTATTTTGGAAAAACTAACACATAGTTTTTACACATAGTTAACTTAAAAAAATTTCTTAATCTCTGTAAATTAGACATCTAACTTAAATATCTAGAACAAGAGAAAGTATAATACAATGCTAGTTCGGGTTGGTCAACCTCGGGTACAAAAGGTCAATTCTTTTTCTAGGTGGGATCATGGGTGGGAAGGTAAAAGGAGGATGCAGCCGGAGCTTCTGGAATGTTTGAAGCTAGGGTTAAAATATTGTTAATGAAGACTGATATAGTCACCATATGATCCTTGCAAAGGGGATGTGCCTGTTTCACTCTATGGTAATTGTACCACTGAATCTTTGAAGACCACATCTTCTGTAACTTCTTTTTCTCTAAGGTTTAAGTAACTATCTCATGCTGAGAGCAAATGCAATCGCCAAGTTCTTTTGTAACTTCTTTCGGTTTCAGGTTTTAGATTTTAGTTACCAGTTTGATTCTCAGAGAAATCCCATTGTAGAGTTCTTTTATATGATGTTACTCCCACGGGAATTTCAAAATAAAAGTGAATAAATTACTGATTATAGCCGTTCGCTGTAATTCTGTGAGCAGCCTCTGCATGTTGCTGCTCTCATACTGTTTCTGGTTTTGTACAATATATTTCTTCGCCAAAAAGTAAGTGGAAATAACGCAGTCAACAGGTTGACATACTCCAAAGAAGAAAAATATGAAGACGGTGTTGTGAAGAAGAAAGATGAAAATTAAGTTCATTTCATCCTATTCTATTTAATGATATTTTGCATTTCTGAGTTCTCTCCTAAATCCAAGTACGCTATTTTATCAGAAACTTGTACATCTGTTAGTACTTGTTAATATTTATAACATGACTGCCGCTAGGTCTCCTTCGATGTGGAAAAAGTTGTCGGCTTCGGTGGATAAACTATCTTCGCCCAGACATCAAGCGTGGCCCTTTTACAAGTGAAGAAGAAGGTAAAATCATTCAGCTGCATGGCATGCTCGGCAACAGGTAGTGCATTGATCCCCTGGTTAATTTTCTTGAACACACACACACACTACTCATTCTATTGCTTTGAATTAAATTGATGGAATTGAAGCATTTTAGTTGTAGCTGCCATGGATTTCTGAAGAATATTGCACCCCTCATTATCCAGAAGGAAAAAAGATCTTTTATATAACGTTTCAGTGACAATATTTATGATATGAAATCTTCTCATTTTATTGCTCTATCATTAATCTTTTCCATGTGGTCGCATTAGGTGGGCTGCTATAGCATCTCATTTACCTGGGAGAACAGACAATGAAATTAAGAACTACTGGAACACACATCTGAAGAAGCGCTTCCTTCACTCATCAGGTCATTCTCTGGAGGCACAAGAGCCCTCTTTTAAAGGTCCTCATCATCGGAGTGATATGAAGTCTGAATCTTCTTCTGTACGTCATGTAATCCAGTGGGAAAAGGCCAGAGTTGAGGCAGAGAAAAGGCTGTCAATGGAATTGGAATCCTCATGTGTTAATCATTTTTCTAAATCTAGCACACATTCTGATTGCTTTCTTCGACTTTGGCATTCTGAGGTGGGGCAATCGTTTCGCATGATCACAGAAAAGAAAGCGGAAAGCGAAAGCCCTACCTCGCAAGTAAGCAGTGTCTTTGCCAACATGGCTCAAGAACAACTAAGCAGCCTCAATCCAAAGCTTGAAGATGGCACAGCTGGGTCAGACTCAGGTTCTCATGACTTTCTTGATGCCTCTGATTCTGCATTAAAGCTCCTGCTAGATATACCTGGTGACAATGTCGGGTTCTTTGAAGGATTGGAACAGACTGAGAATTTCCAGGGTCCTCTGCATGATAGATATGACTAAATCTACTGCATAAACTTCTCAGGGAAAGGCAATGCCTTCGTGAATAGAAGATTTTGTGCCTTTCTGTTTCTTCATTTTTGTACATGTTAGTCCAGTGACTAGTCACAGTTCAGCTGGTTTCTTCATATGCTCTCAACTTTTGGTACATGCTAGATGGTTTAGAGGTAATATGAAGGGAGGCTAGATGAAGCATTTGCCAGAATTCAAAATTACCTCCCACTCCATGGAGGTTGTAAAAGGAAATTTTTCATGCCTTTTGATTGATTTCTACATTCGCTTTTATCAGTCTTTTGTCTGCTCCTCTCCCTTGGAGACTGATTAGAGTCAGGAGTTTAGAAACTACTCACCAACTCTCAGTTAATGACTTAAACTTTTGGTTGAAAGTAGTCCTTGACATGATATCCAGATCTCTCAAAATTAAGTGTTCGGTAATTCAATCCTTGCCACCTTTGATTTATACAATTCAACTTGGTTTTAACACAAGGCATGACAAGTCATGCTTTATATACACTTTTATATAATTTAAAAAAAAAAACAATGTACAACAAACTAAACTTTATAATTTCTTAATGTCTAAAGTAATTGGAGCACTCACACCAATATTGATATGCACACATCATAAATGAACATCAACTAAATCCCCAACAAATAATTTAAATACAAGTAACACATCTGTACTGACACCAACAAACGACACATCTGTACTCACATTTGAACAGTCAAAGAACGTGCGCTAACAACTGTTCACCGGAAAAAATAAAACACTACCAAATCAACTTTCTTGGTTTTCTTATGAGATCTCAGGATTTCAGTATCAGAAACAGCCAAGGATCTTCTTGGGAGCAGTTCCAGTGGCCCTGTATTTTGCAGCTGCTTCCTCTGCCTTGAGAAGATCTTCCCCTTTCTTGGCATCAATAATTGCCCTCTTCTCTTCAGCCTCCTTGTGGATCATAGCGACTCTGTTTTTCATTTTCTCCACGTATTCAGCCTTCTTCTTTTCAAGTTGTTCCTAACTCGCATACAAATTAGAAACACACAGAAGAATTAGTAGCAGACCAATATATATTTAGAAAAAGGTTAAAAGAAAAGTATGTAAAGAACAATTTTGATTAATTTAAATTCCAGTCTGTTACAACTGATTTTCTATTTCTTTTATTTTCAAGTATTTTTTTCACTCGTTTTCTTTCAATTTTTACTTTGGAACCAAAAAAAAAAAAAAACACTTGGTTCGTAGCAGAAGTTATAGTAATCTGGATTTAAATCAATGGACAGATATTTTAACAGCACTCACAAAGCACTTCTGGGAATTACTAATGAAAAGGAATGATTGATCTTACTTCAATCCTTTTTAATTCAGCCTCAATGGCTGCTTTCTTGCTGTTCTCCCATGCTGAAATAGCTGATAACTTCTTGTGTGCTCTGCTCAAAAGATTCTATTCAAATTAATATCTATGAAACCTTGTTGAATGAAATGAAAGAAACAAACAAATATCTAGTGTAATAATGCAAAAGCAGCCTCTTACTTGTTCTCTGCTTTTGATTTTTCACTTTCTTCCCATGCTTTGACTAGTGAAAGCCTCTTCTCTGTTGCAACTCTAGCCAACACTGCATCTGTATATGAAAAAACTTGTTTAACCTCTAATTTAGGATATAAAAATGTATGAAGGGATATAAAACCGTCGAGATACCTCGATTTGCAGAGCCTTCAGATGGTTTCTCTGCAGAAGCTTCTTGAGGCTCTGAATAAACAACAATAATCACAATGATGTCATTATATCATGTTGACGGCTCAATCATGCAAAATCCATATGTTTTGATACAGTGGCTCAGAAGCTCTTTTTTTTTTTTTTAATTTCTTTTGGGTATAATCCCAAATACTTGAGGGAAGGTAGAAAAACTCTACAGATTTATCAACCAGTCCTTATTACAGAGTGTTCATAGGCTTTAGAGAACTTGATAATTTAGTTATTTTTACTAATTCCTCGAAATTGTCCAAATTTTTCATCCCCATGTCGTTATCAAATAGTTAAGATCAGGCTGAGCACAGGCACAGAAATTAAAGGATGAACTATAAGAAGCATCACCATTCAGAAAAGGTTGACATCTATAAGATGAAGGTATAAATGAATTCACAGTTATCTTGTTTTCACAAGTCTCAAACGTCCCCTGCTAAGACAAGCACGTGTTTGCAAATACTAGCCATCATAAACTGACAAGAAAAGAAAAAAATGAATAAAAGTTTAAAGTATACGTTAGAATAAAAGTTTAAAGTATACGTTATAAAAAGGATTATGACTTCTGAGTCCCAATTCCCAAATAGATGAAAAACCCTTCAGAAACTATACCGGACAGGAATAATTCAGTTGACAAAAACAACAGAGATCACTATGAATTAAACTCGAGAAATTCATTATCAGAAGTCCTTGAAGAACAGAAAGAAAAATTCAACAATTCACTGTTTATATTTATAAGAAATGAAAAAGGGTGTTCAACTAAGGACTTGTCCCCTGAACCAACCATAAAATAAACAGAGTAACCATGGAACACAAACACAAACATATACACAGAAAGAGATATATTTCCTTTTGAGTCAATTTTTCAGAGGAAACAAACAGATATAGAAGAAAAGTGAGAAAGAGAGGGGAGTTGGGTATGTACTTTCAACTATAGCAAGAGTCTTAAGTTCTTCAGAAGGAGGTGCCGGAGTTACAGATTTCTCCTCAGTCACATCTTTTGGAGGCTCCTCATGAGGTGGAGGTGCTGGTGGTTGCGGTGGGGGAGGCTCCTCATGAGGCGGCGGCGGCGGCGGCGGCGGAGGCGCCTCATGAGGTGGCGGCGGCGGAGGCTCCGATGGGGATTCAGCGTCCAGCTTTTTGGGTTGCTCCTCTGTCATACTTCTGCTTTCCTTCTTTTGAGTTGAGTTGTGATTCCTCACAGAAAAGTTGGTGATGATGATGACGATGAGGATTTGAAACAAAAGGGTGTAACGGAGCTTTCACTTATTGTGGAAATATCAGAAATTGATGAAGAGAGAGAGAAGAGGAAGGGAGGAAGAGGAGAGAGAAAGGTGGTTAAGATATTATGGTTGAAGAAATAAGGTAACTGTTCGAGCTCTATCAGCTCTCTCTAATATTCCAACGGCGCTTAGCTGGATGGTTGATACAGGTGGCCACCCTCCCTTCGCCAGTTTGCCTCAATCATGCAACTTTCTTCTTTCATTTTTTTTTTCAATATTATTATTATATTCTTCCACTTTTAATTGATAATTTAAAATTAATATGGGAAAATAGATAAGTTCCAGATCATTTGGTTAAGATACCCCCACAAAAAAGTGGCGTAAGTGACTACACATATTTGACTTTAGCCCAAAAAAAGTTCATTTATTTACTTTAGAGAAATAGAAGGAAATGAATTACAATAAATAAAAATAGTTTTTTGTAAACATAATTAATTCTTTTTTTACTTTGAAATTAAATTAATAAAAACAAGAATAATCCATTATTTATTAAATAATAATAACGAGAATGTGTGTGCGTGTTAAAAAAACTCGACTTTGAGTAGAAGATATGCATTTATTTGAGTATAAAACTCATAATATTTTGCTGTCACATCACTGTATCAATTTTTTTTTTTTACGCTTTCTATACATGAATTTCTTCGACGTTTGGTATTCACTAGTAGGGGTTGGATGTAAGTATTAGCGCTTGAAAATTCCAAAGTCAAATTCATAAAAATGTCCAATGAATAATGATGTATATGTTACATTTATGGATGTTGGCCAAAATAAAAATTAATATCATTTTTAGTTTATTTTAGACTGCTTAAAAATTCTTGATACCTATTACCTAGAACAGTATTTTGATCTCTAAAATAAGCATTATAAACTAAATGAAGTCCAATTTCAGGAGCCAAAATGTCAAATTTTAAGAATTAAAAATAATATTAACAAAAAAAAATGATGCTTAGTGTCCAAATAAAACCTCACTTTTAATCGCATGTATGTTATTGCATTTAGGTTAATCGAGTTTGATTTAGTTCTGGATAAAATGTGATTTACAAAATTATATGGGCCATTAACAGAAAGTTTCCACAGAAAATATATCATTTCAGAAAAAAGGAATAATTAATTAACATCATCGAACACTCTAGAAAATTAGGGAAATGGCAATAAATTGTTGGCTAACCAAGACTTGATGACAACAATTATTGACATTTATGCATAAAACATATAAACATCAATAAAGTGATATATGCGTGAATGACCCCTCATAATAATTTAAATTCATTTTATTATTAAATAATTCAAAAAAACCTTATTAACATGTAACACGTCAATTAATTTGAAAGCATCAAATTAATTTGATTATTGAGGCTGAGGTTGTCTTCAACATTAAGCTGTGTGTGGCGTCGTTGTCTTGGGTAGCGTGGAGACGAATACGGAAGATTCCTTCTATGGAGATTCAGTCATTTCTTGGCGATGACGAAATATTCTAAATTTAATTTATTTTCATCTACATTTGAGATATAAAATTTACAACAAACTACACTATATTTCGAGTTATTCTTTTTTCTTGTGGGATAATTAAAATGGTCAATTAAATATTATTCCTCCAGTCCTATTTATAGAACAGAGAAAAAAGATATTTTTTTATTCTATTTATAGAACATTGAGAGAAATTTTTATATTTATATATAATTTTACCCTTCATTTATTATTATATTGATTTTATTTATATGAGGTACTACTTCCGATCCTAATTATAAGAGCTAGTTGACTAATTTGAGGAATAAATAAGTGTTGTGCTAATGAAGTATATTGGATAAAACTATTATTATTAGAATAACTATCTTAGAAAAAATACATAAATATGATAAACAAAGCAAGTTGAAGTCTTATATTTAGAACCAAAATAATAGTCAAAATGATATCTCATATCAAAAACTGGAGTTTGTATATATATACTACCTCCGGTCCTAATTATAAGAGCCAGTTAACTAAT